ACAATCAAAAGCCTTTGTGTAGTCAATAAAGCACAGGTAAACATCTTTCTGATATTCTCTGATTTCAGCCAAGATCTATCGGACATTAGCAATGATATCCCTCATTCTACAGCCTCTTCTGAATCCAGCTTGAACCTCTGGAAGTTCTGTGTCAATGTATGCTTGCAGAAATTTCTGTATAACCTTTAGTAAAACTTTACTCACTTGAGATATCAAAGAGATTGTCCGATGATTTCCACATTCCATTGGGTCACCTCTCTTTGGAATGGGCACAAATACAGATCCCTTCCAATCAGTCGGCCAGATAGTTGTCTTCCAAATTTCTTGGCAGAGATGAGTGAGTGCCTCCTGTGCCATCTCACTTTCTTGAAAGATTTCAAGTGGTATTCCATCAATTCCTGGTGCCTTGTTCTGTGCCAATTCCTTCAATGCACCTTGGACTTCCTCCTTCAGTATCATTGGCTCTTGAACATATGCTACCTCTTGAAATGGCTAAACATTAACCATTTCCTTTTGGCACAGATTCTGTATATTCCTTCCATCTTTTCTTAATGCTTTCTGCATCATTCAATACTTTGCCCAGAGAATCTTTCAATAATGAAAATTAAGGCATGAATTTTTTCTTCAGTTCTCCCAGCTTGGAAATGCTGAGCATGTTCTTCCTTTTTGGTTTTCTGATTCTATATCTTTTTGCACATTTTGTTGCAATATTTGGCTTTATCTTCTCAAGCTGATCTTCGAAATTTTCTGTTCAGCTCTTGGACCTCCTCATTTCTTCCATCTCTGTATGTTGGAGAGCAAGTTTCAGTGTCTCTTCTGACATCCATTTTGAACTTTTCCTTCTTTCTTGTCTTCTTAATGACTTTTTTGCTTTCTTCCTGTTAAGATGTTCTTGATGTCATCCCACAACTCTTCTGGTCTTTGGTCTTTAGTGTTTAATGTATCAAATCTGTTCTTTAGATGATCCCTAAATTCAAGTGAGACATATTTAAGGTCGTATTTTAGCTCTCATGTACTTGTTTTCATTTTCTTCAGCTTCAGTTTGAATTTACATTTGAGTAAGTGATGGTCTGTTCCACAGTCTGCCCCTGGCCTTGTTTTGACTGATGATATGGAGCTTTTCCATCGTCTCTTTCCACAGATGTAGTCAATTTGATTTCTG